GATTCATCGAATTAGTCAAGTTATATTGGTTTAACTTTTATTTTTTTACTTGTATTTTAAATTTAAATTGTATAATTTCAAGTTAGTTTATATTTGAATTTAATCTTCAATTATGTTTATATATATATATCCCGTCAAAATATTATAAAACTGAAAAATACCATTCTAATTAAGGAAAAAAAAAACCCAACCAGGAAAGAAATGACAAACTTAATTCTCGGTTGAACTTGCCTTGTAAGACTATTTACTTCTTTTTTCCGTCAAAAAAATAAAAAAGGCAATGTACTTGCAACAGCCCATTTCACATTAGATTGGGCTTGGGCTTTATCAAGGTGAATAGAGAAACCAAGTCCACAAATGAAGACGGTGCCATCATTTAGCATTGGAGTGGGGGCCATTGAAAAGTGGGCCAGCTGAGCTGACTCGCTGATCCAACAGCCAAGTTGGCAGCAAGCGCAGCAGTAATCTGCTCCGGCATTGAAACACTACAAACCAAAGTAAAAGATATGATAATGTCATGTCCATTCGGTCAAAACCGTGTCCTAGCGTCCCTAACACGTGTCAGAGAATCATCATCTCCACGAGGTAGATTTTCTTGTGGTTGGCAAACCCATTCCACCATCGACTCTCTCTCCCTCCTATGCATAAATATTTATAATAAACAAATACATTCTTTCACGTCAAGGTGACCGTGTGTGCACGCTTGAACTAAACGTGTGCTGCTGACAGAGTTGTTCAGAATATAAAAGATAATCTATGGCATTCAACACCAAATTTACAGGCATTTAATAGAGAGAGAAGGTGTTATAAAAATAATTGTCACCACGAAAACTCATAATTTCCTGGCTACAATCACCGACGGGATGATAATTGGTGATGAAGAAATAAGCGAACAAGAACATTTTAGGATCTATTTGTATCGTTATACTTTTATTTATTTATTTATTTATTTATTAAAGGGTTATACTTTTATTTATTTATTTATTTATTAAAGATGTTGATTATAAATTTTAAGAAATAGAAAATAAAGAATTAACAACTAGCTAGCTAGCTAGGAACATATTTCTAATTGTATATATTATTTTGGTGGCCTAGAGTTGCAGGAATCATAAACTTCAAAAAAAAAAAAAAAAAAAAAGTAGATTGAGGCCAGCAATCCACCTGTAGGGTGAGGGTCAAATGAGACAACCACCATATGGCATATATTAATTAATATCCACGCAAATGGTCCAATTATTTTCATGTAGACAACTTGGGTCCGATAATGGCAATCAGAAAAATGTCAAGGTCCAGCCTTTTCTTGGTAACGAGGTCCGATTCAGATAAATTCTAAGAAAAAAAGAATCCAATTTGCAGTATCCAGGAAAATAAATCTGAATTCTAGGGCAAATGGCCAACAAAGGGCTGGACCTTGAAAAAGTTCATTGTTTTTCCTGAATTCTTAATTATACTCTTCGAATTACAGTTTGGTTTTCCGTAGAAAATTTACATTATGCTTCCCAAATATTTTTTATCTTTACATTATTTATTTATTAATCTTTTTTTTTCAAGCTTATCCTTTTTTATATGCCCTTTCCAATCCTAAAATCCCCGTAAAACCAAAAGATAAATCATAATAAAAACAAAGAGGATGCATAGTTAGAACCTAACCTAACCTACGTAGTTGTTGTTAAGTAGTGTACATAATCAAGGCACGAAATAAGGCTCACTCTGCCTTAACAGGCAATTTCAAATCTAAATCCATCCATAATAAGTTTCTCAACATTTTCCTTCTAAGATTTATCATGACTTCACGCTGAAGCTGTTCTTCAAAACAAATTGAAGATTATTTTAGTTTTTCATTGGAAGCACTTAATAATAATGTTCAAGTTAAACAGAAATCTATTAATTGTTACCTCTTCTACCATTAATTTCATCTGAATAATTAATATAACTGAAGGATTTAAAACGACGGAGTATTATGTTAGAGCATCCACATCCATTGTATGTATCCCTCGGCTATAATAGCTACTGGGTCTAATTATTTGCAGAGCATTGTTGCTCCTCAAATGGCTCGTTATTCTATGCCAATTAAGGCACAGTAATTGCAGCCCTCTTCAAATAATTAGCAATTGACCGGTTCTTCTTCTTCTTCTTCTTCTTTGTGCTATTGTTACTGGTTGCCTAACGATGATGGGAGGAGCTTTTGGTTAGTGGACGAAGACTTGTGGTGGTTGGGGATGACTGGATGGCAAGGTGTGATGGGTTTTGACTTTGAATTATGTGTTTATTAAAGGGAAAGAAAAAGGAGATGGTAGTGGCTGTTGCCTGTTAGGTTTGCTTTGCGTTTTGCTTTTTGACCGTTAAACAATTTCTTGCTCGTTAAACAATCTTTCACTGTTTTATTAAACGACTATATTTTGAAATTTACACTTCCATTGATCTCTTTCAATTTTATTATTTATAAAATCTCTCTTTCAATCATATTTGTTCCACTTAAATTTCTTTTTCAATCATTTTATTCCAAATCTTTTTAATAGAATATAAAGTGATGGCTATTTCACTAATCTCGTACATGAAGAGTCATATATATATATGACTATGATCTATTCTCTCAGTACTCCAATTCAACTATTATGTCATTTTAAGATCCATTTAGAAATTCATATACCATTGAAAAGATAAAATGATCAAATAACTTTAGAAATATATAGTGTCGCAAAGAACATCTTAAGAAATTAAAGGAGAAAATGGAAAATAAAAGTTGCTAAAAGATTATTGAAAAAAAAGTTGGTTATGCTAAATAAATTCATGAAAAGATTATTGAGTAAAGAGTTGGTTGTCCTAAAAAAAAAGTCATGCTAAAACAATCTACCTAGAGTGAAAACTACTTCATGTTTGTTTTCATGATAAAAATACATGTGTTTTTTTATTCAAACTAATTCATTATTGGAGGTAATAAACTATTAAAATTTAGGATAATGATTAAAGATCTAAACTTGGATATAAGCATCAATTATCATTTCTGAAATATAAGTATTGAACTTGATAGGATGGTAAATATTGAGTTAGAATTTGGCTCATTTACTTTGTTTAGTTTTAAAATGGATGTAAAAGCCTCCACTCATATTTGATGGGTCTTAATAGGGTCACATTGACCAAATTTAAAACTATTCATGATGACATCGAGGAATGCACCTCTAAAGCTGAAAATATTCCTAACATACATATTAATACACTCATATAAATCTTTACCACAATATCATTCATGAATAAAAATAAATTACCAATATCATCTAAGTATAAAATTAAACCATCGTATAAGATATTGAAAAAGGAATTAAGCGATGGTGATGTGTGGTCGTCATGTGCTAGCAAATGAGGTGTATTAAATAGTGATAGCAAATGAGATGCATAAAATGAGTTTCTCATGACCACAAACTTACACTCAACAATTCCCCTCTATCAACCAACCTTTCCCTCTCTTAATCATTAATTGACATCCTTGCCAACAACACCTCCCAATGACATGTCACATCCCAATCAATAATTAAATAAATATTGAATAATAAAACTAAAAAAAATATAACGTTAGAAAAAGAAAACAAAATTAAGCAAATTTAGACAGGTTTTTTAAACTTGAGTTAATCTCTCAAATTCATAACCCGTGAAATCCTAAATTTGAGCTTAATAAATGAGCTCACTTCCAAACCAATTAAATCTTGAAAGATGAAATCAGAAAAGAATATTAGTTTAAAAAATTTATCAAAATAAAAAATAATAATAATTAAAAGAATAAACATCAAATCTAATAGGAAAGTAAATAGATGATGAAATTGAAAAACATTCTAATTTTATAAATTATTTTAAATAAAATAAATACTAGTAAATAGAAAAATGATCAACTATAAAGCAAAAATAAATGGAATTGATACTTTAAAATTTTAAATGGTAAGCATGGAAATCAAGTAGGAGAGAAAAGAAGAAGGAAAAAAAAGGACATCAACACCAAACCAGAGCCATTTTCAACCTCTATTGTAAAAGGTGATTTTTTATTATCGAATGGCACCATATATGTCACACGAAGAACGTTGAGGCCACCCACATGTAAATATATGTAACACACATATCTAACAATGTTTTTAATAATATTTATATTTTTAAATTACTAAATGGCCCTTAAATGACATGATTATTACAAAAAAAACATAATAAAAAGATTTAAAAAAAAACTCTTGAATGTCTACGATAATTAAGTAAATTACCGTGCTTAAAAATTAAAAAGACAAAAAGCCCCTCAATTAAGATTTTTACTTCACAAAAAATATGATAATACCGATATGTCCAAATATATTTAAAAATGACTAACATGTCAGGTGAAAAAGACTAAATTACCCATAATCACAAGATTGTTGAGTTTTTTTAAAGGAAAAAAATAGTGATTTCATTATTTCAATCTTCAATGAAGTGTGTTTTAGAGCACAATAATAAGATGATGGCTTTTGGTTTTTTTTTAATGTATATGATATATATTTTTTAGATAGATTATTAAAATAGTTTTCTAACTCTTTTACCTAAAATCTAGCTAAGAAACGTAAATAAAGAATAGGGGGGGCTGTTAAGTAATAGAAACAAAAATTTTTTATTATTTTCAGTTTTATGCTCTTTTTTCCTGTTTTTCTTTTCCAATGGAAGAAAAAAGAAAAAAACATCTTCATTTCTTAAAGCTTCAAAATATTTTTTTTCAACTCATAAAACTGGAAAATATGTTCATACCAAGTTATTTTTCATTTGAAAAAAAATAGCAAAATAAAAATTGTGTTCAAACTAAACCAGTTTTTTTATGATATTCTTTATATTTTAATATAGATAAATATTTTTTCGCCTTCTTAATGGTATTGTCCATTTTTTTTATTTATTATTATTTTGAGTGAAAAAATTCTCTCCTGATTAAATCTAACGAGATGCAAGAATAAACACGACAAACAGAATATGTTCAATGTTAGAGTGCTTGGCACTTGTAAACAATAATTAAGAAACAAGGCCACAATAATAATGATTAGAGAACTCTTTAGTAGTCCTTTTGTAAGAGGATCCTTTTTCTTTCTAGCTCCCTAATTAATGCTCAGCCCCATCTGCGTCCTCGGCTGAAAATCCTTTACCTTCTGATCCACCCATGCTTCTCTTCAAATAATCAAGAAGAGAAGACATCTTTAATTTGCAATGGATAAGGTATCCAAGTAAACATTAACAAGTTGGCCTTCATCATACTGACAAATGAATCATTCAACCATTTAGCAACTTCTTCATCCTCAAGAGACTCCACCTCCATAACTTGACACCTTACAGACATCCATGGCATTCATCTCTAAACAACCAAGAATTATTACATATGAGTAAAACAGACGTGTTGAATGGATTGTGCTCAGCCAGCACGAGACAATAAATCCATTTGTGAGAAGACGAAGACGAAGACGAAGACATAGTTTTAGCCATGCCTTTAACACCTTGTGCGTGTGAAAATTATCAACCAACAAAGACAGAGAAACAAGGATGGTGGTTTGTTGCTCATTTTAGTGATGATGATGATTTCCTAGTTGTAGTAAAAGAGAGTGATGGATTAGAAGAGAAGAAGAGAGTCGAAATAGTTTAAGCATAAAAGAGATGAAGAATGAGAGTTGGGGAAAAGAAGAGAGTAATAACTTCTGTTTATGGAGATCGTCATGTATTAATGTAATTTCTATTTTTAACCCTAACTACAAAAAAAATATTTAATTAATCACATAACTTCTATATTTTACATTGAATCTTCTATATAACTGAGTTTTAAATCTTGATTTTATATTTTGTATTGGATGATATATATAATAATTGGGTTTTAAATTTTGGTTTTGTTAAAGATAAAATAATTTATTTTATATTTATTTTATATATAAAAATTCATCTTGCAATATTTTTAGTTAAATATATTTTTTTTTAAATATAATTTTTAAAAACTACACGAACAAATATTTTTGTAAGATTTATTTTTTAAAAATACAAAAACTTCTACACATTTAATGGGTGAGAAATTTGAAAAACATCTCTTACATGTGTCTAACTTCAAGCTTTGTCATCGGAAAATGAAAAAAACCTTTTTTTTCCTCCAATTTATAAAAACATTGCATTTGAACACAAACTTTTTAATTTTTTTTTAATGTTTCTCAAGAAAAATGGAGTAGATGTGACGCTTACAAGCTAATTGGAGGTTTTTCTTTTTCTTTCTTTTTTTCCCGGCTGCTCCCGCCTCCCCCCTCCCTCCCTCCCTCCCTCCTCCAAAAACAGCGGCCTTTTAAAGCCCGAGTTGTCAGATATGAAAGCGACATGGCAACGCCCTGCCGCTAACAAGATCCATAACTATAGATGAGCACATGCAAGTGTGCTGCGTTACGTGATGCTGTTTGGAAATGAGTTTTAAAAGCATTTTTTAAAAATTTTAAATTTTTTTTGTTTTAAATTAATATATTTTTGATGTTTTTAAATTATTTTGATGTGCTAATTTTAAAAATAATTTTTAAAAAATAAAAAAATATTATTGACATACTTTTCTAAATAAAAAATACTTTAAAAAGTAACAGCAACTACACTCCTAAACATATTCTTATACGAATAATGTGTTTCTTTAGCCTTAGCTTTTGCATTCAAGGTGTAAATTGGTAATATATCAAACTATATTTTATATTATGAATCTTATCAAAAAAATTAAAATTGAAATATAGTTTTTGTAAAGTAGATTTTATATATTTTTTTTATCTGAATTTTATAAAACTCTATTTATTTTTGTGTTTTAAAAATATCTTTTTAAATTTAAAAATTTTTATTTTGTTACTTCAAATTATTATTATTTTATTTTCAAATTATTTTGATATATTTTTAAGTAAAAAGTACTTTTAAAAAGCAATTACAACAAAAAATTTATATATTTTTTTTAATATAAACCTCAACCATAATTTTTATCAAATAAATATCTAAATTCAACTAATTACTCTTATTTTAAACTTATTTTTTCTAAACTACAGTTATAAAAATTACCTCAAAAAGAAATACACTAGGATTATAGGGTTTAAGCCAAGCCTGTGGAGGCCACTCATATGATATGCCCCACGAAAGAAGCAGCTATGCCCCTTCGGAGCCACCAAGGCAGGCACCACCGTGTCCTACCTCCAACCACATTCCAGCCCTTCAAAGTCCACATAACTCTTTCACGCAACTTGCAGGCAACTATTCTATCAATAATTTCACACTACTTTTTTTGGTCGCCTCTACTTTACACATGCACATCTTAACTTCGTTGGTAAAATCATTAGCTGAAATGATTTTATAATCAAATTTCTTTTTTCGATGTGGTTAGATATTGTCACTGGTTGATTTATTTCCGTGTGCCTACCGCCGCCATGGTTGCTTGGCAGTTAAAATTGCTTGTCCTGTGGGCGGTATCTGCCTGTTTGTCCAGCATGAAAAATTAGAGAAATAATTGTATATTGTTGTATAAACTGTAGGGAAGACGTGTAAATCCTTAAACATTGCAAGGGCTAAGAGATTATAAATGGTTAAATTTGCAATACAGTGGAGTCTCTGTCACTGTTTGAGCTCCCATTTGACTATTATTTTCCAATTCGGAGCCCTTTTTCTCACGTTCAGTCAAGGTGCCGCTATTTTATTTTATTTGGGCAAAAATGTCAGCTCGAAAGTATAGGCGAGTATTTCTTTTTCTTCGTGGTTAGACTTGAATTCAAAGAAGAAAAAGGCTCCTCCTTGTCGATGAAAGCTAGCCGCCACCAGCTCTGCCTGGCCTTGGTTTATGTGTTGCCTTCTAAGAAATAGATCCTCTCAACTTGTCTGTTTCATTAATTCTCTTTTTCTTGTTGTTTACGTTTTATTTAAGGGTAAGTTTACAATATTAAATATTCATGAGGAGCAAAATAGGAAGAATATATATAGGTAGTTTTTTAGTTGTAATTAAATAAAGATAGTTTAACTTTTAAAAATAAAAAAGAACTAAATTCATTTAAATTCTTAAAGAAATGGACTAGATATAGTAAGTACATAACATTAAAAAAATTGTTTTCAACGAAACAAAGAAAACTACCATCTCATAATTTGGTTCAAGAAACTAGTTGGATTTGACTATGCACTATGAACGAGCACTCCAAATTTTGCATTACTAAAGTCATTTATCTCATTAATTATGGAATCCTGACTAGTTTTTTTTGGCAGTACAAATGATAATATTATCATCAACATTGATTTTTCTCAGTCGTTGGATTCGTCAAATCCCCGTAGCCCCAGTCAAAAACAATTTCCTTTTCTCCACAACCAGGAGTATTATTTAAAGAATAAAATACGCGTGAAATCGTCATCAATAAACTATTACTTTGAAAACTGCCAAACTAGTGAAAAAGTGGTAACCGTCGACTCCATATCAGAAATGTTCCTATAAAAAAAAATATCTGAAATGTTACTCTACAGATTTAACAAATTTACCAACAGAAATCACTATCAATATTTACATGAGCAGATCGTCGATATGTGAAACTTTCGTGAGTGATTTATGTACTATTGATGATTTTATAAATAATAAATATACTGATAGATTTATAAATGGATAAAATATGCTAAAAAAAAAATTGATTGGTTTTATTATATCATTATATTAATAATAGCAGTAGCATTTACAATAATTCTTTTTCAACTCTCTATAATATATTGATAGTCTAATTCCATCAGTAATCCTATCAGTAATAATAATATTTGTATTAATTCATTTCCAACTATCTCTAAAATATACTAATGTAGTTGTTCTATTAGTAACCCCACCAGTAATATTTTAAAAATATTTTAAAATATATCTATTGACTAGAAGTAGAGAAATAATTAAAATCAAATAAATTAGTATCAAAATCAAATATTTATTACAAATTTAAATATTTGTACATTCAAATACAATTAATCTAAAATAGAGACAACACTAGAGGAGAAGAAGAAGGAGATTAGTCATCGTCAGGACCGTGGGGCTAATTAGGGGTGGCACATAAACCACTCATTTATGATCTCATCTCCGTTACAAATTGGCAGAGTTTTCATAATCAATAATGAGTTGTTTATATTTATTATTAAAATGAGTCATCTGATTTTGTACCTATTGGTCTAACATCATCGTGAACTCCGAAGTTTGAATACTCAGAAATTATTGCGAGCTTTCAACAATCAAAGCACTGCGAGTCGTCTAAAAGTTCTCGATCGTAGTATTAGAGAGTATGTACACCTGCTTTTTATTGGGTCTACCAGACAATTTTGTCTCTAACCACAAATCTGAATCAGTATCTGAATAGGTTGAAGGATTGTCCCAACATCTCTCCTTCAACCAACAGTTATATGTATCCTAGAAAGAAAAAATAAATTCATCAAATTTAAAAAAAAAATAATTTATGAAAAAAAATAATTGAAAATCAATGTATCACAAAGTGTTTAACTCGGTTATCAATGAACTGCTGCATCCCTTTTTGGTATCATCATTTTGCACATGAGTTTTAACAAAAATTTCCATCAGGCTTTGCTCGGGTCCAAGAACTATAGCCTGCAATAAGAAAATGTTGTCTGTTAAATATATTTATAAAAAATAACTAATAAAAAAATAGATATAATAAAAAATCTTATCATCTGCTTCACATGCAAAACAAACAGAATGGAGCTACTGGTATGCATGGTAATAAAATTATGAACACACCGATTCTAGTTATTTATACCAGAATGTGACCGTCGAGTGAAATCACAGACATCACTTGTTGAATGTATTCTACCCATATAGCCTCTGAGACATTTAGTGGTCTGAAATCCTTCCAAACCACTATATCATTTCAACTTCGAAGCCTTTTGTATATTTTTTGGTTTTCTTTTGCGTCTTGTACCAAAAATCACGCAACCTATATGCTATAAATTAATTATCTATTCATAATTAAAAATTAAAATTTAATATTTGGAATAAAAAATTATCTTGAATTCGATCTTACATAATTGCTGCGTAATTCTCCCAAACCCTCCTCGCAACATTATCATCTCTCTCCCATAAAAATTTTCCCTTGAAGTAAAAATTTATAAAAGAAAAATTTCTGTATTTTCAATAAATAATCCAAACTAATATAAAAAAATATTTAAGTTAATACTAATATTGAACCTTAAAAACCATGCATCGACCTCTAGTTTCTATTCAGGATGTTTGGAAACCTGGCTTTATTGAAACAATGAAATTTTTATCGATGATTTAAAGGTCAATGTTATTATTCTAGTAAATTCAATGTTTGCAAACCTAAAATTGCATTCACTAAATGATATTACTTTTTTCAAAAATTGTTAAACATGTCATTATGAAAGCAAAACAAACCTACATTGAAATCTTATCCTTCCACTATACCTTGTACTTGCTAGTAAATGGATTTTATTGTGAGGGAACCCCTTCGATGTTGTAGCATCACACTTGATGAGCCTGAGTCGTGAGTCAATGCTTGTGACACAAGTTCTTCATCTAAGTTGTGCAGTTTAGTTGTCATTTGAAAGTATCTAAGTTTCTGATGTGTGATAAAAGTTCTTCATCTATCAATCATAAGTTTATAACGAGAATGTCTATATGTTCTGCACTCGATCAACTCTGTATTTTTAATGTAGTACAACATGTAAAAGATTAGACACGTGTCAATTTTTTGGTATACTAGACTAAGGGGTTTTATCATAGACTTAACAGCATATGAGTTTTCTTTCAATCTATTCCCTTCAGGTAAAATTTTCTTGTCCATTTGATTAATTTTATTATAATTGACCTCACTTAACCAATGATCTCACTTGATGTTGAATACTTTATTATAATTTGTGCAATCTTCTCATAATGGTTTGTTTGAATCTTTCAAAAGATCCAAAAACCTAGCCACATCTGCATTAGGTTCTTCGTCTATGATTGGACATTGACCGGCATGATCCTGATTCATTTTCATAACATTCATACCATATTTTCCTATAAAGATTACTATTATTATCCACAACTCCATCCACATTGTGAGAACTAGAAATTGACTCAACCATCCTTTCTATAATGGTATCATAAGGAACATATAGTTCTCTATGTGCATATCAACACAAATATTTCTCCATGAACTCTTTTTATATAAGATGCATCATTATAACATCTAGATAGAGAAACATTTTATTTTTACACCTCTTGCATAGATATCTAATACCCCTTCCACTAATATTTTTCGAATTAGATAATATATAATTAATAAAACCTTGAACCTCATTATAATAATTCATCCTCCATAACCCTTGGGGTGAATCTCTATATATTTATGAACGATCATCCATTACTTAT